ATATGATTTGTTGCGAGCAATGAATTCTGCGAAACATTCCCCATTTAACCGTTGCTCGATCTCTTATAACATCCGATACACCAATGGTGAGCATCGAAATCTGGACACACTGTATAATACGTCACGAGTAGAAATGTTTCAATTAATAATAAGTGATTCGACAACAGCAAAGTCATAAAGCAGGATTTGGAACCGGAACTTATAAATGGCAATTAATATAAATTGATTTGAAATAACAGCTGTTCTAATTAGAACCGACCCAAATTAGTAACACGTTCGATGGATAAGGTTTATTCATTACTGACAGAAGCAATTTCCGGGCAAAGGAAATCCTTAACTGATGAAAATCCGAAATAAATGATTAAATCCAAAAATAATTACGTATTCTACAAAACGTGTATACAGTTTAACTCACAACTTAAACATCTTCCTGAAAGTTGGTTGGGAAAAACACATAAAGTTTTCCTATATGTCAACGCTAAGCAATGATGTGTTCCCCTCAAGATAAAAAGCAAAGCATTTGATTTCAGACATCGTGCAGAATTAGGCAGAAACATCAAGATGTCCGTTTATAATGGTGTATTATGGCTAGAAATGGAAGATAATACTTACCTGATCGGTTATATGGACGATCTTAATCTATGATCAGCACACGGGACATCTCTGGGTTCCCAAGCAATAAATTGAATCATGAGATTAGTACAAATCTAGATGCCAGTACACACTCCATTAAAGTGTGTACAGAATTCTACAAGTGTGAAAATGGATAAACTTCGCCTGATTACCTCATGAGGATTGCCAATAACAATCTCACAAACAAGGAGTTGATTTATGACACCACTGAGGATCCAAAAGCTATGTAAATAACATACTGAGTCTCTGAAGGCTCTTTCCTTAGTTCTGTGTTCTAGAATGTCGTTTTATAATGATATATTATGCTTAGAAATGGAAGATAATACTTACCTGATCGGTTATGAGGACGATCTTGGTCTGTGATTGGCACGCGGGAACTCTCAGGGTGCTATTCTGTACACATTCCATTGACGTGTGTACAGAATTCTGTAAGTGTGAACTTGCATTTAGCTTCTCCCAATTAGCTTATGAGGATTATCCACAAGTATCTCACGAACAAAGAATTGGTTTATGACACCACTGAGGATCCAATAGCTATATAAATAACATACTGAGCCTCTTAAGGCTCTTTAATTCCGTATTCTAGAATGCTCTTTTGTAATGGTATATTATGCCAAGAAATGGAAGATAATAGGGGAATGTGTTGTACCTTGGACTGAATGTACTATGGACCGGTAGTAGTTTTACTTATAAAACAAGAATCTTTAGAAAGTAGATTTTTTATTTCCGTTATTTTTAACGTTTTTAGTGTCGCAAAGTAAATTTTTAAGTTTGATTAAACTAAGTATTTTCACTCTACATTAAGTGCTGAGTTAAAAATCCTTGGTCAGGTATATTCTGCGTTCACTCCTCTTTAATTTAAAAGTAACGGAGATGCTTGTAAATATAATATAATAAAACAAGAACGACTGTTCAAAAACGTTACCAAACGTGTACCTTAGACCAATGGCATGTTTGTACCTTAGACCAGTCCAAGGTACATGTAATAAAAGTGTATAGATTATTAACAATCCGTTAGTAAAACAGAAAGACTAGGAAGACGAAAAACATTTTGTCCAATTTTACAAAAAAAAAATAGTTAGCAGAAAAGCAGCCAGAAACTTTGTTCTTATTATTATTATTATTGCTGCCGGGCTGAGGAGAGCGGCCCCTCTCGTTACCGCGACCTATAAGATCTATTGTAACTTTAGCCCTCCAAAGGTTTAGGGCAAATGTAGGTCCTTAATGAACCTTAGTATTGTCCTGAGGTCTTGAACCTTTATGTCGGTAGGTAACAGGGGAGTTTTACCGAAGACGTTGTGCCTTAGACGGCCTCTGGCGACGCAACTGCACAGTATATGTTCAGCAGTTTTTGACTCGTCGTTGCATAGTCGACAAGTTTGATCCTCAGCTTGTCCAATATGGATGAGGTGGTATTTTAGGGGCACATGGCCGGTCAGGTAGCCTGAGAGCGTTCTTAGATCCCCTTTGCTGAGGCATAAAACCTCTTTGGTTTTGTTTTGCGACAGAGTTATCATACTCTTCGCTTGTCTGTGACCTGGAAGTTCTTTCCAGCGTAAGGCTATCTTTGAAGCCTCCCAGTTGTTGATTGTTTGTTTTAGGTGGCTTTTTTGTAGTCCACATCCAGATTGGGGTCCAATGAAGGGCGTGCGGCCTTCTCATTGCCCTCAATGTTGCTGTGACCTGGAACCCACCATAGGGTAACATCATTGCCCCTAGCGAGTTCTCTCAGCTTGTTGGTACACTCTCTGATCAGTGCGGAGCCACACGTGTAGGCCTGAATTGCCTTTAAGGCGGCCCGACTGTCTGTGAAAATGTTTATGGATGCACCTTTTTGTCCTTTCTGTAGGTTCAAAGCAGTGCAGAAGTTTATAGCAAGAACTTCTGCTTGGAAAATTGTTAAGTCCGAGCTGAGGGGCAATTTGATGTGGCTATTTGATCCACTGATGCCCATGCCTACTCCAGATCTTACTGTCTTTGAAGCATCGGTGTACCAGGCTAGGGCTCCTCTTTTTAGTTGAGGCCCTCCCTTCGCCCAATCATCCCTGCTACTAAATATGACCTTATACGGTTGGTTGAAATTGTATTCCGTCGGTATGAGGTTCCGTTTTAATTTCAATCAGGTGATTTAGACATGGGTCCTTGAGGACCCCAACTTTGTTCTTAGCGATGAAGATGTTTTTTGTTGATACTATTGTCTTGTCACACCAGCTACCCTTGAATTGTCAACAATACAAGAGAATAAGTTATCTTTTCAGTTGACTTCAGTCAATATAATGTTTTGTAATTAAAAATATGTCTATGTAAGTACATTCACAGTTTACTTCTATCCTTTTGATAATGGTACTTGTCACATTTTATTATCTATTTCTTCTTCTTCCTGTGGCTCTACAATCCTTGGTGGATTTTCGCCTCCTCAAGTCTCTCACTCTCATCGCCCTCAAGTCTTCCTTCACGTCGTCCAACCATCTTTTACGAGGTCTTCCTCTAGGTCTTTTCTCTGTTGATTTCCATTCTGTAAGGATTTTTCCACTTCTATCGTCTTCTATTCTTCTTATGTGTCCCAACCATCTAATTAGCTTAATTTTAACAAATCTGCTAATGGCATTGAGTTCAACATTCATTCGAGTTCTCTATATTTCATCTTGTTTAGTTACTAATCGATCCAAAGTACATTCAACGTTGTTCCAAAGTACAACCCCGTATTGTACCTTGGATCAAATAACATATTTTTACCCATAAAATGAAGTACTTCGCGATTGCAACTATGAATTTTATCACTTAAAGCATTGCAGAATCAATTTAAACCAAGAGATTTAATTAATAACTGATAAATATTGAAATATTAGCTATAGAAATAAAATGGTCCAAGATACAACACCTTCTCCTACGTACCTGATCGGTTATGCGGATAATAAATCATGAGATTAGTGCTCATCTGGATGGCAGACCCTTACACAAGATATGACTGAAACAAAAATCATATAAAGTTGGGGAATCGCAGTAGACATATAAACTTACTTTCAGCAAATATCTTAAATTGCCTATAACAGAGATCCTAATGAATTATCGCAGAATATTTCCAAGCGGTTACTATGTAGAATTTCAAGTACGTTTAGAACAGGGACTACTGCCTTAATTTACCTTAAAGCTACTGAATAAAAAAAAATGTACGAACGCAGTTATTAACAGAGCATGGGTATTTCTGTAAACATCGGCATGGTGAGTAATCCCAGGTGCGAGGACGCCCCTTTCTATGATACAGAAAATAGCTGGCATAAAAATTCATTTTCCAATTAAAGGTCAGTTTAAAAAGTATTCCTTTTTTATTTACAAAATACTTAGCAAGAGTACTCAATTTGCGGCTCTTCCTCATGGACACTTCTTAGAAGAAGGCACTGAAGGAGAAAACTCTCTGTGCGCAAATGCTCCCGTTTCGCCGATGAATGTATGTATAAGAAAAGATCGCAAAGAACTAAAAACTAATCATATCTCAAATATAAATAACAAAACCTTATAGCACACTTTTAGGACTTGCTTAAATTAAGCTTTAAAAAAGAGAAGAATGATTTTTTGTGGAATTTTTTTGGCCATCAATCGACTTTTTTTTGTAAAAAAAGACAATATTACACAAGAGTAACCGAACCCTATTGAGAATGGGACAGACCCCATCGATTAATATCAATCAGAGTTCGGGAACTCTTTCAATTCTGATACACGCCGCGTCCACTTTTTTTTAATAATTCAGCATTTTTCGGATAACCGATTGCAGGTTTGGCCGCAGAGTCTCGACGAGAGCGTGATAATCCAATAGCTGCCGATTTATGGCCCATGAGGGCGAACTTTTCGGCCTCGCTAAAGGTATTCCGACCACATTCCATGTGGATATTAAAAAATCGTGGATTTATTCGAAAATTCACCAGGTTATGTTACTCAACAATGCCTCTGTACAAAAAAAATTCATAAGTTTTAAACCGAATTAACTAGTTAGCGGGAAAGATTATTATTTTATTTATTAATACATCAGCGTCGAATAATCTTAGTAGTTAGTACTTGATGAAGTTTTTAGTGTTCTGGTAAAAGTCATTAACTCCGGTTACGCTACAGTGTTCGTTAACAATAAGTTGGTGGTCGCCCCAACAACTACCACTCAAAGCCATGAATAAATCAATCAAACTTGCACGACTACATCGACTTACCAACTTCCGTAAACTTGTTCGAAGACTCTGTATTATGTATTCGAGAGAACATCATAAACTCACTTCTACTCAATATCTTAATATTAGAATGAATATTTATATCCATATTTTTGCTGTGAAGATCTAATATTAATCATTTTAGGTACTCGAAATAAATAAAACTCGCGCTCAAAAACGCTTAGAAATATATTTTTTAAAAATAACACATTACAATTCAAACAAATACGAACATACTTCTAAGCCTAAATTCTAATTTTGAACATAAAAAACCATAAACATTGCTATTAACAAAAACGAATTAAAAATATTAATTTTAATATCACATGGATGTTTTGATTGTACATTCTTAAAGATATATTATCTTAAGCCTCAGGATAATCTTTATATAATTCATAACAATCAGGATCAAATTTTGAGGTTGATTCATTCTTATATGCGGGATATTGAAAGTATCCATCCCATTCTTCATCAGAAGAGGTGATATCAGGATTTGTTTTGATTTTAACTTCATCCCAAGATTCTGATGTATCCGTCTCAACTTCGCGATGTTGATATTCGTTATCACTGTCGTAGGAAAATTTATCAGAACAGCTCTCTTCTTGTATAAAACTTTCTTCAAGAGGCCCATCTAATCTGTTTAATAAACCGTTTTTGTTTCTGTACGAATCTTTTTTAGCTATATAACCACTAAAATCCTTTGTATCAAATACGTTTTGTTCTAAATCAATGAAATCAATATTGGGGGTGTTAACAAAATTATTTAATTCATTTTGATATAAATCCAATATAACCAATTTTGGTAAGTTGTAGATTTCTTCAATTCTACATAAAGAGTTATTATCACATTTTAATTTTTTTAGGTTGGTTAAATTTTTGAATGTTGATGGAAGACACCAAATATGATTAAATGAAATATCAAGTGATTCTAAATGATTTAAATCACCAATATTGTCTGGTAAATAATAAAGATTATTTTTACTCAAGCTAAGTTCAGTTACACTGGTGAGTTTCGAAATTGCGTCTGGTAGAAAAGATATATCAAGATTATTCAAAATTAAAACTCTCAATGTGTTAATCCAATCATTTTTCTCAAATAAACATTCGAGTGAAAACGAGTTTAAATAAAAACCTTCGTTAGACAAATCTAAATATTTTAATGTTCTAATTGACTTAATAAAATCAATATTAACCCTATCAATTTTCGCAGAACAAAACACAGCCTTTTCTAATCGATAAGATGCTACTTTCTTGTATTCTGATTTACTCGTATTTCCAATAATATTACAAGAGTAATAAAATTCTTTCAAATTCATTGTGTTAACAGTTTGAATCCACAGGGGTAAAGTTATACATTTATTATAACTCAAATTTAATACTTTTAACTTACAACAACATGCAGGTTCATTATCAAATTTTAATATTCCGTTATTAGACATATTGAGATCTTCAAGTTGAGGTAATCCTTTTATTATACAATTAGGAACTTCCGCAAATTGATTGTGAGAAATATTCAGGTTTTTTAACGGCAATGATCCTAAATTATTATCTAATTCGAACAATTTGCAATGAGATAAATCCAACTTGATAATGTTCTTGATGTTTAAGTTGCTTGGACCTTTGTATAATGGAAATTTTTCTTTTGTATTTTTTAGTTTTATGTGAAAATTGTTATTAATGCACACAATATCAAAAGAAAATGCTTCTAAGTTGTAATTTTCATTAATTTCCAACATTTTTTTAGTTGATGCAAAATTTGTATCGTTTGAGGTTAGGTTCATGCCGCCACTGTCAAAAATAACATAACCTAAGTTTTTTATGTCAAGTCAAATCATGGTTTCATTAATAAATAAACTTAACTTATTACCTTTAATAACAAATTCTCCATCAAAAATAATAAATGTAAGTACTTGTAGCTAATTTAACTTTATTATATCGCTTTTATTTTTAGTACAATCAATTGAGATATTCAAGTTTTCGAAGTTCACCTTTTATATCAGATTTAGAGACCCCAAATGTGAAATATGAAGTTACAAAAGATCCTCATGACTGGAAATTTGTAGAACGTTTATTACCTCCAACAACCGTTCCAAAACCAACTTTAAAAAATGAATACCCCTCCGATTGGAAACCTCAAAGTTTAGATGCCACAAATTTGCCTTATTTTATTCAAAGAACTAAGAATCATATGATTCCGGTTTATATGAAAACCAGTAATAGAGGTATGAAGAGATTAACTTATGTGAAAAAAATTCAACGGGATATTTGGAGGTTGGAAAATGAATTGAGGGAATTTTTACAAAAAGAGAATAAAAATCCAATTCGAAGTCAAGTAAATGAATTGGTTGGGTACATTTGTTTTCATGGGGATCATGTTAATGCTATTAAATATTATTTAATGAAAAAGAATTTGTAAAGAATTAAATAAAAGTAGTAATAAAAATAATTATGTTTCAATCTTTATTAAATATGATTTTCTATAATTACACTTTGAAGAGTTTAAGTAAAGAGCAAGTTAACCCTTTCAATACTGCTGGGATATATACATCCCAAAGAAAGTTTGAAAAATACTTTAGTCTAGAAAGGACAGTAGAATCTAAGTTAGATTCTACTGTCCTTGGTAATCTAGTACATATATCACTTTAAAATACACTGGGATGGGATTTTTTTAGTACTTCTGGCTTCACTTTATGTGTGAGTCACATTTACTTTAGATTACAATGGCAGATTTTTATAGATTTTCCTCTCAAAAATGAAACGGACATCGAAAACGCGATAAATCACTTCACAAAATGTATTCAAAAAGCTGCATGGATATCCACTCCTCAACCAAAACATCATAATAAAATAATTCATTATCTACGCGATGTTAACAAGATAATTACAGAGAAAAGAATATTAAGAAAAACCTGGCAGACAACTCGATCGCCTGAAGAGGTAAAACTAATATGCAAAATCCAACTTTACAACAAAAATAAACCTTGGGATATAAAGGATCCACGAGCTAAAAAAATTACAGAGTAGCTGAGATGATTCGCTTAGATAATCAATCGTATCGATTGGCAGATAATAAAGGTTTTTCTCGTTTATTGTCTACTATTGTTCCACAGTATACACTTCCTTCTCCGAGCTATATGAAAAATATAATATCTGATATTTATGACTTATTACGAACTCAAATTGCAAAAAAAAATTGTCAAAAATGTTAACTTTAACTTCGGATATTTGGACATGTTCTAAAAACAATAATAGTTTCATAAGTATTACAGGATATTGGATGACAAATGAATGGGAGAGGGATAACATTGTACTGAGTTGCAAGAGCTTTCCACCTTTCCAGAGGAAGTCATACTGGAATGGCTGTCGCAAATAAAATTTTGAATATAACACAATTATGGGACATACAATTGAATCAAACTACAGTAATATTACGTGATAATGGCACTAACATAATTAAAGGCTGCAAAGATGCCAAAATTGTTAGCGAAAGTTGTTTTAGTCATTTACTGCAGCTTGTAGTAACGTATGCCATTTTTTTCGCAGAGGGCTATATCAGATATGTTAGGTTGTGCCAGAAAAATTGTTACATATTTTAATCACTCTTCGTTAGCATGTGATAAACTACAAACTATTCAGAATGATTTGGACATGAGACCAAAAAAGGTTGTGCAAGAAATACCAACCAGGTGGAAAAGATGTTTAATTATACAACTTTTCTTACTCTTATTATTTTTTAAAAAACCTTGTCGTTTTCATAAAAAAACTTAAATAACTAATTCAATTTTGATAATTCAATTTTTGTTCACCCTGTATAAGATACTCCGATAAAATAAATGACAATCAATTTGATATCATCTGAAGAGTAATCATACCAAGTTAGAGCTTTCTTGAATGAATATTGGCTGAGATATGGAGTTTTAAAGAGCATGGTGAAAATTGCCAAGACAAATTTAAAATCAAAATAACTCGAAAACGAAAAACGCTGGTTGCCAATAACTTTTATCAAAGTCAACTTATTTTTTCGCATATAATTAAAAGGTGCAATAAAAACTATAGCATTCCATTTAAAATAACGAAGTAGTGGTCTACTTCCATGGGACCGGAAGATCGAAAGATCGGTATGAACCTCCTATATAAATAACTTTCTACAACAAATTAATGCATTTTTGAATTTACCTGTTAATAGACAGAAGTTCTGATCCAATTGTTTGGTAGAAATACCACGGAAGCAAAATAACTCGAAAGTATTCGTCAAGTTCTGCAAGTAGCGTTTATAGCGAAGGCACATTTTCTGAAACGGGAATAATTTATGAAGAACGCCGTTTTAGATTAACTCTTGTTAATGCAGAAAAAATACTTTTCATACACCATAATTTACAAAAGTGTAATTTTGAGTATTAAGCAGTTATAGTATTTATTTTCTGTTCTATTTTTAAATGTACGTATTTACTTATACTTTTATAATCATTTTTTTTAATAAATACAGTTGTTTCAATTAAAATAAATTCAAAATTCGTTTAAAAACGACTATCTTGAAAACAAAGACTGATGGGAAAAGAAGATTTTTCTTTCATTTCTTTTTGGAATAGCTTTTTCTACTCACGTTTTCGTATTATCTTTTTCTTTTTAATATTTTCTCCAACAATATCTTATCTTTCTTTTGCAGTATTTAGACCTGTCAGCAGTAGCTAGTCTTCAGAAAGCAGTATTTAGTCTCCACAAAGCAATTTTAGTCTTTAGAAAGCAGTATTTAGTGTTCCAGACGCTGTATCTAGACCTGTCGGCAGTATCTAGTCTTCAGAAAGCAGTGTTTAGTCTTCTAGAAGCAGTATCCAGTCTTCTGCCAAAGTTATGTATGTTTTCTCCAAAATATTTTATCTTTCTTTTGCAGTATTTAGACCTGTTAGTAGTATCTACTCTTCAGAAAGCAGTATTTAGTCTCCACAAAGCAATTTTAGTGTTAGAAGGCAGTATTTGGTGTTCCAGACATTGTATTTAGACCTGTCGGAAGTATCTAGTCTTCTAGAAGCAGTATCTAGTCTTTTGCCAACGTTATGTATGTTTTCTCCAACAATATCTTATCTTTCTTTTGCAGTACTTAGACCTGTCAGCAGTATCTAGTCTTCAGAAAGCAATATTTAGTCTCCACAAAGCAATTTTAGTCTTTAGAAAGCAGTATTTAGTGTTCCAGACGCTGTATTTAGACCTGTTGGCAGTACCTAGTCTTCAGAAAGTAGTATTTAATCTTCCAGAGCAGTATCTAGTCTTCAGAAAGCAGTATTTAGTTTTTTAGAAGCAGTATCTAGTCTTCTGCCCACGTTATGTATGTTTTGTTCTTGATACTGACAGCTACTTCTTTCTGGGTGTCTATCATCATCTTTTTGGGAGCCTCTTATTATCTATACGGATCTTGTACCACCCGGTACCTCATTTCTGCAGCTGTTACTTTGCTTTTGTGCTTATCCTGCATTGGCAAAGTTTCCGTATTGGTGATTTCCTGTCCTGTGCAATAACAAGACAAGTCCATTGGTTTCTTGTTCATATTCTTCGCATTCTTTTATTGAACACATAAGTATTGCCATGAAAAATCATGTTTGGTTTATAATCAATTTTTTGTTTTCTCTGAACAGTAATTTCAGACTTCATGTGGACTTTGAACAATGTAATTCCTGTTTTTTGCTGAAGTCTAGTTTATAACTATTGCAATTTCAGACTTTTTCTTGCAAATTAATCTTCTGACCAGAG